AGCATTTTTATAGGCCATTATAAAGTTTTATTAGAAGATAATCAACAAGACACACATAAATGGAGATAAATATCTATGGACAGAATTCTTGTATCAATATATCAATTCTAACAAATCTCATATACAGATTTAATGATTCTAATAAAAATCCCAAAAGAGACTTTTAAGAAATTTGACAAGTTGAATCTGAACTTCACAGGTTACAGTGAAGATTCAAAAATAGGTAAGAAATGCCTGAAGAATGAGAAAGAGGAAAAGGGAAACAGGGCAGGGAAAAGATAAATATGAAAACTTGCTCTTTCAGATCTTAGGACTGAAAAATGCATAGACATGGAAGCTGTGTGGCTTTACTATAAAACAAAAACAATGATCAATGGAACAGAATTGAGGTACCAGTCATTTATTCATATACTTCAGAGTACAGATACCGGATATGACCCAAAATATCATAACATTGTGGCCTTTTATTTTCATTGACCCCATTGTTGAAGATACCCATACTTGAGTCATAGAACATGGCAGAATCAAGTTGGTAATGACCTAAATGTTTCATCCCTGCTGGCTACTTTTCATGTGCTGGAAGATGCTATGCAGGCTACCAAAGGAGAAAAGTCATCATCAGTCACACCTATCTATGAAACCTTTGAGCTGCAACAATGATCAGCATAACACATGGCCATTGGTGTATTAGTAGCTCAAATAGTATTGGTGTAACCAACCACTTTTTGATTGGATTTGAGTTCCTCTCCACAAGAGGAAACCCATACTAGCACCATTATCAGACCAAGAACATAGAGCTAGCAATCATAGGCCCTAGGGGAGAACTTATTACTGTTATGTTATACTGTAAATGCACATAGTATTAAACTGACTTATCATTACAGCCCTAGATCAATGTATCTCTTATTCCTCATCTAAGGATCTTTGATTTGCAGTAAATGGTGGTTAACATAGTAGCCCACAACTGGCCAAGGTGTAGAGACAGAAGAATGCTCAGCCCTAAAGGGAACCTATGTGCCTCATCCTACCCTCACAAGGTTCAGGGATTACTGAGGAAGAGGACAAAGAGTATAATAATCTGAGGTGGTGGGGGAATACAAGGAACATCTGGAAAAAGTAGGGCAGATGCATATATGAACTCACACAAACTGCAACACCATGAAAAAAAAAACAAACCTGGGCAAGCCCAAGGCAGACTAAATCCCAACATGGAAGTGGGAGCTGGGCACACAGTCCCTCTCTATGCCTAGGAGTTATTGACAAGTGTTATCTGTTGGGAAAGGAAGGGCAATTTCCTTTTAAGAGTGTAGGTCTGGGAAGTTGACATCTCTCCAGTTGAAGAATACACACCCAAGGATATCTGGGCACTATATTTTGGTCTTAAAGAAACCTTTTTTTTTTTAACTTGTATAAATTACTTTTATTCTATAGTTATGGATTGCACAAAATATTGAAACAAGTTCATTTTCTACAGCTGATGTAGGAAACTAGGTGGCAAGAGATGTGCTGTCACAGTTCTGAGGGACAAAACTGGAGACCAGTGTGAGCGGGGCCTTGTTCTGTGACTGCGGAATCCTTTCCTAAAATACTTGGTGTTCTTGCCTTGCAATTCCAATACTCTAGTCCCAGCCTCTCTTCCCACAATGCCCTCCTGCCTTTCTTCTCATGGAATTAAGACAGTGGTCCCAGTGCATCAGGCCCTCCCTTGTGACCTGTCGTACAGTCACAGGGGCTGAGATTTGAACTTAACCTTTTTTAGGGACGCAATTCAACTCAGCATATTCATTTAAGTTTTTATGCCATTTTTACATATATAAAGAAAATGCCAATTTTAATTTGCTTTCTCAAATTTGGTGGATTAAAGCACCTTGACAAGCTAAGTCACTAAATCAGAGAGAATTGGTGAAATTATACAAGAGGAGGATAAATGGAAGGGAGGAGAGGAGAGAGAGAGAGGAAGATGTATTCAGAACACACCACTGGGATCCAACTATATGGTAACAGCAGAGGTCAGGGGAAAAGGACTTGTTGGGGAAATGAGCAGAAGACAATTTGTCTATTGGTTTATCCACAATACTTTAAATAGTTGGCAGGGTATTTGTGTAGGAAGCAGGAAGATCAATTCCACTACAAACAATGTTTTGTGCTGGCTATGCTGGCGATGAAGTACATTTTAGGCAAGTGCTCTACCACTGGGGTTCTCATACACTGGCTTTCATCTTCTTTCTCATTTTCTTTTTGTCCTTGAGGACTCTGAATAGATAAGGTATTCCTCACTAAGAATCAGTTGGTATCACAGAGTTTTGGTTAAGCTGATAGTAAGCAAAGCTAAGCCCCCATGTACCAAAGACAGGGTGAAGTTGTTTCAGAGTTAGTGTTACTTTGTTTTTTAGGTGAAAGCCCTTTGCTGTCTCTAAAATAATGTACTGGGAGATAAATATAACTGTGGTCTAAAAAACTGGTTCTTGAGTCCCCAGTGTAAGGGAATTGGTTGCAAAAGGTGAGTTTTGCAACTCTTTGGGTTTGGTGTTCCGGGTTCCAGCACCAAAAATATAAGCATATTGGTTGCAACAACTCTGGGTTTGGTCCCAGATTTTTGCAACTCTGTGGATTTGGTGTCCTGACTACCTGGGAGCTGCTTAGGACAGCTCTGATGGCTGAACTGCAAGGAGACAGTTCAGCCCTGGAGGGCGAGCCATACCGGACACCACAAGCTGCTCAGAAAAACAGCTCTTCCCTGAAGGTGTCCCACACACTTGGAGCCATTTAGCACAGCTATGAAGGCTGGAATTGCAAAGAAGCAGCCCAATGCTGGAAGGAAAATTTTTCTGACTTCTCGGGAGAGTCAGGCCTGGAACTGCTTCAGAAGAGAAGGGTATCCTGACTCTTTGGGAAAGTCAAGGTATATCTGGTGTGATGGGGGATGGTCTCCCCCACAGGATATAACAATCCTGCTCCTCTCCTGGAGAACCGCTTCAGCTGAGCTTTGCTCAGCCCCCTCTTAAGGGGGCTTCCTAGCAGAGCTCTGCTTCTCCGGCCAAAGATGTTGCTTCTTTTGCTTCACTCGGGAAAGGGGAAACCCTGCAGAAATATAGCAATCTCCTCTGGCTCTGGAGAAAATTGTTACTTTTCAGCTTTCTCTTGCTCTGTCCTTTGAGGGACATCTCAGCAAAGATCTTCTGTTCAGCTCCTCCTTGCTGGGCTCTTTCAGCTCTCCCTTGTTTTGTCCACTGGAGGATGTCTCAGCAAGAATCTTCTCTATGCCAGTGAATGAAGATCTTCACACCCAAAATTCTTTAGATAAAGACATTTATTTGGGAAGGAGGAGTCCAGGAGGGTAGCTGCCTCTACCATGGTAGAGAACAGCCTTTTTCTAACTGACTAGGCAGGGCAGTTTACACAGGAAGTCTTGGGGATGGAACCAACCATTTGTTGACTGGGGGCCCAGGGTTCTATTGTCCTGCTGTATGATTGGTTGGTTTCACAATTCAGTTGGCCAGGGGCAGAGATGGTTCTTATCTGACTGAGCCAACTGTGTTTCTTTCTGCCCTCATATGAGCCATCTTTCCCTAGTTCTGGGCTCCAGGGTCAGGGTAGGTTTCTTTAGCCTAACTTTTTCCCCTACAATGTTAATTTGGGAGGTGTAATGTTTGTGAAGGCATACCTGAATGCTTGCTGTGAGAGTGCTCATCTCATTACCAACTTTCTCCTGTGGCCATAGAATCAAGTCTATTGTTGGGAGCAGTCTAGAGCCGTGGGTCTTGACTCCCTTGAGGGGTGGAATGACCCTTTCACTGAGATCGCACATCAGATATCCTCTATATCAGATATTTATATTATGGTTCATAACAGTAGCAAAA